CTGGGCGATATTGCTGTAGACCAGCAAGATTTTGTGAAGAAATACGTCAAAGTCAGGCTTCCACATATGGAAGAGGACTGGACGAAGGCCGAGCCTTGCGTGTAGCAGCAGAGATAACAAAGCCGAAATTGATATTCGGAACGCTCGGCATCGTCGAACAGTTTTACAATCGCCTACGGGAGAAAACCACATGCCTCACATGCGATGAAGCAGGCCTGGCACCTGATCATAACGCTGGCTGCCAGTTTCCCGAACTTAAGGCAACTATTCCTGACTGGTGATGCACACCAACTGCCAGCACATAAAGCGAACTATCCAGAAATTATTGTGCCGTACGGGCACAGAAGTATTATTGAATCTATTCTGGAGTACAAACGTGGTCAAGACACTTCCTTGACAAAGTTTGGTTAACAAAAGCAAAGGAATTTGCGCTGTCATTTACTGATATTGCAGATACCATATCAGACTGTGGCCGTCAATTTCTAGTAAGTGATCAAAGATATGCAGTAAAGGTAGCGGAACTTCCATCCCTTATTAAATCACCTCATAGATTGTGCAAACGATCCTAGTCGTACTTCCACAGTACGTGGATGCTATGATTGGGGATGAACGAAGAGATTCCAAAGCAGTACTGCTGGCGAGGGATGGATCCTCAATGGTCGCGCCACTGCAGATCAACCGCTACTGGCTGAAGAGCAGTATATAAGCTCGAGGATCCGACGTTCGGGGCCCGCGTTTACCTGCTATCCACAGTGCCGTCTGACACATTTCGCTTCGACAAACTTCTGTGTTCTACTTAATCTTCATGCTGCTCTCGCGCACCTGTATTATTATGGCGTGTAATAAATCTTGTCCTAATTTAGTCTGGCCTGACATCTTCTAGGGGAATTTCGATCCATTGACATACGCGGTACCTAGATTCAAATAAACTCTTTTAATGGTAGCAGCGAGTGGTTTGAGCCTCTGCATAATTCTCTAACTTTCTAAGCCATATGAAAAAGGGGATTTCTCCGTGCCCCGTGAAGGCTGTCATTTTTACCGGGCTAAAATCAAAGGAAATCATGTTAATATTACTTGCTTCACCTTGGGTTTTGTTTTAGGTTGGTTCCTTTGTTATATCCGGTGCAGTTATAGTGGATGTGTCTGGAGCTGGTGTCGGTGGTGTACCTAATTGCTGTTGAATTTCATCAATGCGTTTGGCTATGCTAGCAAATCCTTGTTCTGTTTCTTTACTATAAGCGAGCACTAGCATCTGCTAATTTAGTGGTTTCTCTATTGATTGCTCTGAAATCATGTAAGATATTGGCTCCAAACAGTTTTACTTGAGCCCCCATTATTTTTAGGTGACCCATGTTGACCTCTTGTGTGGAGTCTGCTGTTTCTATGTAATTAAAATCTAATGTTAGGGTTGTCATGGCAAAGTGATTTAAAGATTATACGTTTAGGTTTGATGAATATGTAGATTAGTAGGTTTGATTATGAATTAGTAAAAAGGTGTTAGCGCAAGTTTATACACAACAGATACAAAAATTCGCTCTGAGTGGGTGGCTGTGATATAACTATATATATATATATATATTTTTTTTTTGAATAATGTAACTATGACTGGCTCTTTATAGCCGATGACGCTGGGTGTGTAATAAAGTCACCCGCAAGACAGGAAAAATGTAACTATGTTGCAGCGCTTGTAGTAAAAGTAATCAATTTTCTAAATGACACCTTGTGCAGCTGACCTTTTAAAAGAGTTGACAATGAATATATGAAATTGACTTGCGTGATGCTGAGTTGATGCAACTCACAAAATATGATGACGCTGGAGATCTGTAGTGCCCCGCCGAAATGAGTAACAGTAATCTGCCGTGAGTTCTGGCCAGTTAATGACGCTGGGCCAAAAGGATACCCGCGGATTAATGATGCTGGGCTTTAAAACACCCGCAATTTGATAACACTGGATTCTATTAACACCTGCTAATTGAGGATGCTGGGTTCTAAATTAACCGCAAATTGATGACGCTGGGCTCTAAAACACCCGCAAATTTATGACGCTGGGTTCTGAGGCACTCGCGGTGACGCTGAGCTGGGGAGTAACCACTTGCTGCTACCAGAAAAGAGTTTGGTACGTGACAACTATTTTTGATCGATGATGCACACCAACTGCCAGTATATAAAGCGAACTATACAGAAATCATTGTGCCGTATGGGTACAGAAGTACAAAGAGATTTCAAAGGAGTGTTACTAACGAAGAGATTCCAAGGGAGTATTACTAGCGGGGATGGATCCTCAATGGTCGCTGCAGATCAACCGCTACTGGCTGTAAGTACAAGGGTTCTGTATTAAAGCGCATCCTCGTACCGGCGGTTGGTGCGTTGGCGGCTGTGTTCTGTTTCGAGGAGTTTTTTCCGTTTATTCTTTTTTTGCTAACAACAGTGTATCCTTGTAGGTTACAGCGGAAGTTTCACTAACTCAGTTTTATTTGTTTGTATGAACAATATGAAAAGCTTATTTTTCATTCCTCACTATCTCCTTATGTCCTTGTATGAGCAAAGCATCCGTAGGGCCTGTTTTGAAGAACAACTTGCAAAGCTTTCTTAAGAAAGCTTCCTGTTCTAGCGTCTGACGAGTTTGGCTTCGCTAGCACTGAAACTGTCAGCGTTCCAGATTGCAAGATCTGACTAAGTACGATGTCCATGGGAAATTTTGCGGCAGCGAACGTGTTAAAGGAAGTTCATTTAAAGCCGCTGTGTGGCCGTAATGTTTACGATTAAAGGATTTCTGTCTTTCTAAATGTTCTTTGCTAGTATTCTTCTGTGGGGATTTCATAGTCTCATTTGTTGAAAAAGAATTAACAACTTGGTGGAAATTGCATGTGCAAAGAACACGCAGCAGCGGATCTGGATGTTTATGACTGGTTAACCCAAACCTTTTTGTGTTTTTTTTCTTCCACTGTTTGTTCTTAGTGGGTGATCCTCTCCTGATCTCAAAAAGCTAACAAAGACAAGTTATGTTTTTCAGCACAGCTGATAATGTCCATCTTTGATTCTGTGATTTGTTATCCGTTTGCTTTGTTTTGTGTTCGATAAGGTTGTAAAGCAGAATTATTGCGTGCTGTTTATCCGTAATGGCATTAGATAGATAAGATGTTTTGTTGCTCGATTTTTTGTTGAATTGTGCAGGACAGTCAGCGATCGTCGTAGTTTCTTTCCTTTTGAGCGATTGAATGTTCAGTAAGGCTGAGATTGTCGCTTTTTCGTAACTGATATAGTATAAATTGTTCATGTTTAATGTTTTGAATAAAGGTTTAATAATCCAAATTTGAGGCTCAATTAACAGGGTTGGCAGCACCGATTGAAGAACGATCGGGTTCGTGTGGATATTTGGCGGACCTGTTTCGGCTTGTAACGGCTGATGCTACTGGTCAATTTCTTGGCGTACCCGAAGTTTCGTTTCGACTACGGTAAAGAACCGACAGAAAAAGAACCAAGACAAGTGCCTGCGCTTCAGGAATCCAAACACAAAATTTGGATTCCGAAGTGAAATTTGAAGCCTCGACCGAACACGTTACTCTTCTTACAGGCAGCTCGACACCACTATTCACATGCACACCCACCTCGATTTGACACATCACCAGTTTTCATATACACATCTACTCACTTCACGCCATCACTTCGGCTACCTCTGTGACTCTCGCTCTACGGACCATTTCACGAGATGTTTGGTTGCGTGCAAGACATGCAAATTTCTTACCATGTGTGAAGCCCTGATCCCTTCTTTTCGATGCTGTAGTTTGAGCTATAGAAATAAAACGCATGAAAACTCGTTGTGAAAATTACTTGATTTATAGGACTCCAGTGATATCAGTTTTTCAAAAGTTACACATCAAACTGAGATCCCTGGCAAAATCTGAGAAAAAGTGGCACTAGCCTACCGAATATTTAGCAACAGGTTTAGAGTTTGCTGCTGCGCTGTTCCCGTAAAATCTGTGGACATAGTACACACTCACAACAAATTTTCAAAATGCTATAAAAGCGAGAAATAATTGGATGCTTCCTGCTCCCTCTTCCTCTTCACTTCTTCCCCTTTCCAGCTATGTTTACTTCATTTCTGCACCTCAGTGGCGAGGGTTTCGGAGTCTCAGTCATTCCAGGCATTGACGTCCAGCTCGAGAACTGAAGGCGCAATAATTTCTTGTATACCACATGATGATGCGCACTGCCCCACTGGTTGTCCCACTTCGCCGGGCAAGCCAACTGGTCCGGGAGGCCCTGGTTCGCCTCGTTTTCCTGGTGGCCCTCGCGGCCCCTGAAGAAACCGACAATGACTTAAATAAATCGAAACTAGAGTGTCATATTTTTTCTTTGCAAAATAAAAATATGCTCTCACCGTTTCACCGATACCACCTGGAGGTCCTGCGTTGTTGGACGGGATACCATTTGGTCCGGGTGGACCTTTAGGACCACGCGGGCCTGGTGGACCCGGCGGTCCCTTAATGCCTGTCCCACCAATCGCGTCGTCACCGGGTGGCCCCTTGATACCCGGATCCCCTTCCTCCCCTGCTGGACCGGGTGGCCCAGCAGGTCCCACAACACCTGGCAAGCCGGCTTTACCGGGCAGTCCTGGATGGCCGGCTTCTCCAGGAACACCCGGTCTTCCTTGTTCTCCTTGCTGTCCTCGATTTCCCGGCGGCCCTGCCGGACAGATCACGCTGCAATATACCAATCATAGCAATAGAAACCTTCACAAAATAAAATTGTTTTTACGTGTTTTATACAAATGTACTTGCGGCGAATGCTAAATAAACTGTTTGCTGACGAGCTTGATATATCGGCAGTTAGCATTACTTTCATAACGGTGTTATAGAAGAATAACCCTCGATTTTGATTCGTTCCTTCAGTAGCTGGTACTGACGGACGTCAGGAAGACAAAACCTATGAATTTGCTTGTAAACTGACCTCGAAAGATGAAATTATTTAAAGCATTAGTGAATGGTTGCTGCTGGCGATGCTCCTCAGCAAGCCTGTCTAGGACTTCTGCTTTTGAGTTCAGCTGGCCTCGGTCATTGCCCGATTTACGACAAGGTGATTGTTACTGGTTCTTTGCTCCAGGGCAACTTACTTGTTCACAGAACTACACTAGGTAACATTCGTTTTTACTTCATCCTCACAAACGTTAAATTAATCTAGCTGCAAGTGTTTAGTATTGAGAGCACGCTGCTGTCTAGTATTACAAGTACTACTGGCGCGGCTACACCAAAATGCCAAAAACTACCGACGTGGAAGTTCGAAGTAATTTTTTTCGAATAGATCAAGAGCACACATGGCCTGCAAAATGCATCTTGCATCTTCGCGCATGATTA